TTGAAGCGGCTTCTACAGGAAGGGAAGAGCTTCTGGTCCCACCCTGCCAAGCTGTGGTGAGCACTCCCCCCTTCTGTCAGTCTGGCTGATGGGAGAGTAAAGCCAGGAGCAGGAAGGGCATGCAGGGTGGGATGAACACAGAGCTCTGGGCAGACATGAGCGTGGGAACTGAGAAGCAAGGAGAGCCCATTTCTATCCTGAGGTACCAGACTCCGTCAGGAATGGGGACTTGAGTAGAGGCTGCCTGCCTCTCGGGCCAGCAGCAGCAGCAGCAGAGAGCAGGAGCCATGGGTTGTAGAGCCACAGATATGTGCCAATAGTGCCAGGAACTCTGCATCCCTGAGTAACTGCAGAGGAGGACTGGGTGAGTATGGCCTGAGCCCTCCGGTTCTGTGTGTTCCAAGGGAGGTCCGCGGGCCCCTATTCTCAGCATCACTAGGAAGCTCAGTGTGGCACCCTCAGGCCAGCATGCCAGGAAGTGATGCCTCTGACTGTTGCCCAGTCTGAGCAGAGTTGGTGGAGCTGGTGGCAGGTTATAACCATCTTCCTCTTCTTACCGATATCCAGCCGCCTTGCTCACCAGCTCTGTCCTCAGCCAATCCCAGACAGCTCTGCTGCCCTATAGGCAATCAAAACCAGTTGAATAGGTAAGAACAGAAGCGAGAGGCAATAGGAACAGCCCTCTCTACCCCCTCCCCTCTGCTGAGGGACCTTGGTGGCTAAGAGAAGGGAGCCCCCTTGCCTGGAAATGCTTCCCAGGCCAGGGTCTCTTCTCTTCTTTCCTCCTTCCCCCACCCCTCTTTTCCTATTGAGGGAGGGTCACATTCATGCCAGGCTGGCCTCAAACTTACTTTGTAGCCAAGGATGACCTTGAACTTCTGAGTCTCCTGCCTGGGATTATACAACCAGTTCTGTGTTGTGCTTAGAATCAAACCAAGAGCTTTGTGTATTCTAACAGCTCAGCTACACCCTCAACTAAACCAGGGTTTCCAACACCTAATGGTGGGATTCAGGTTCTCCTCCCTCTCGCCCCCCAACATAGATGCAAACACAAAAGGGTTGCATTCACAGAGTGTGGGCGGACTCACAGACCTGCCAGAGGCCTCCCATATGTCCAACCTGCGGCGGCCCCGGTGCCTGTTCCTCTCTGCCCTATGCCAGGGTCTCTGGCATGTATGGGCCTATGACATAACCCCTGTCTTACCTTGAGAACTTGCAGGGTAGATAAAGCTGAAAACACAAGTTCCTGGGATGGCCCAAGAAAGCAAGGCTGGTTTCCAGTCTGTGAAGCAAGCCTTGGGATGTGTGGCACACACAGAACTTCCTAAGGACGGTGTCCATGCTTCCCATAAAGATCCCCTCGCCCTTTATGGAGGAGAGCATCCTAGACTGCTGTGGCAAGCCACGCAACGCCCTCTGAGAGGTTTCCACCTGACTCCTGGAACCCGTGGGGTCCAGTGTGACAGGGACATTTGCAGACATGATGAGGTTGAAAATGTGGAGCTGGGAAGGCTACAGTGGGCCCTTGAACAAGAAGCAGGAGTGAAGAGTCTAAGCCGGTCAGAGAAACAGGGAGAAGTGAAGACACTGCGCTCTGGCTTTGAAGGGACAAGATGAAGCCATGAGCCTAGACTGTAGGCAGTCTCAAGAGCTCTCGGGGCAGGGAAGTGGGTTCTCCCTGGAGCATCCAGAAGAAGGCAGCCGGGAGGGTGAAGCCCAGACCTCTGACTGGCGCCCCAGTGAGATAGGAAGTTTATGTTGTCCTAAACTATGGAGTGGTGATCTGTTACCACAGCAACAGGAAGCTGGTGGGCTTAAACCTTGCCAGGGAGAAACCAGTGCCTGCTGGGCTGAGGCTGCTCAGGAATTCTGCAGCCAGCAGAGCAAAAAACTGAGCCCGTGGTGAGAGAAAGGAGGGGCTGGGTATGGAGTGCTCAGCCTGTGACCTCACCCTTGGCTGCCCTGGCACCCTGACGCCTGTCAGCCTGTGGTTACACGCATGACCGGGCCCAAAAGGGATCCTTGTGTAGTCAATGCTGTGCCAAAGGTGGGGGTGTGGCAAGAGGGCTGGTGTCCAGGAGAGCCCAGTCAGCCCTGGCTACAGGCAGGAGGCTGGCAGTGGCTGAACATACTCTGATGCTCCATATGAAACACTCCAGACCTCTCTCTCTCTCTCAGCCTCTCAGTCTCTCTGTCTCTCCATCTCTGCACCATGTTGGCTTCCCTTGGGAGAGTGGGAGAAGGGACATTGGGGCTGGAGAATGGGAATGAGGACCCTGCCTCAGCTCAGCAGCAGCTCAGCGGCTAGATGGCCTTGGGCAAATGACTTTGCCTCTCTGAGCCTGCATCCTCCTCTGGAAGGGAAGCCATATTCTCCACACCATGGGGTTTTATAGTGTCATAATTCGTGTACACAGTTCCGGTACAGAGCCAACTCCACCGGTACTGCTGCCGTTTGCATCTTCTTTTCGTGGTTACTGCTCACCGACACAGATCAAAGCTTGCCTCTTAGTGGCAAAGAGTGCCGAGTTCTTCAAAGAGCATGTGCTCTGTCCATCTCTGCATCCTCGGCATTGCTATGCCTACAAGCACCAGGTGAGGAACCTGCTTCATGTATTTGTCCACTTACTTAGGAGTGTCAGTATCTTAGCGATACAGTCATGTGAGGAGAGCAGACAGCATCCTCACAAGCAGAGTATGCTTGTGGTGTTTTTTGAAAGCAATGAGGGGGTGCTGGTGCGTGTGCTGGGAGCCTGTCAAGATGCTCCTGGAGCAGATGCCTGCAGGAGGGGAGAGGCAGGCAGAAGAGGAATATCTGGGGAAAGTCAACAAAAAGGGTCTCACGGGAGCATGGCAGGAGAACAAAGAGGCCAGAGTGGGTGTGCCACAGGATGAGGAGAAAGCAACAGTTACCAAGGCGGGAATTGTAGGGGTCAGATCACAAAGGACCTTGAAGGTCACAAGAATGAGCCTGGCTTTTATTTTGAGCCCAAGAAAACCACACTCCAGGGCCTTCACAAGCTCTAACTTAAGTCTTGAAAGGATCATCCAATTAATGTACTTAAAAGAGTCTAGAAGAACTGAGCTTGGTGGCACACGCCTGTAATCCCAGCACTGGGGAGGGAGAGGCAGGCAGATCGCAGTGAGTTCAAGGACAGCCTGGTCTACAAAGTGAGTCCAGGACAGCCAAAGCTACACAGAGAAACCCTGTCTTGAAACCCTGAAAAAAACAAACTTCTAGGAGGAGGCAGCAGCGGGACCTGGGAGAACGAGGCCACTGCTGTGACGCAGGCAAGAGACGGTCATGGCTTGGGTGTTAGAGGAGAGCAGCGGCCCAGCAGGCCATGTGATGAGGGCAGTGCCAAGAGCCTATGCTCGAGGCGAAATATGCAAGTTCGAGAGGGAAGCCTGGCGAGAATCCCACGTCATTCCTGAGGTGCCCGGGTTATTCTGGGGAACACAAGTCTGGTTGTGTAGGTAGTGCTGTTTCTGGACAGGGTTCCTTAGCATTTGGATTCACACCATCTAACCCCGGAGAATCATAAACAGATCAACAACAGAGGCTGCGTCACAGCCTGCTCTCTCGGCCTGCTGTCTTCCAGCTAAGACGTGGGTCCCCTACTTAGGGACTTTGGCTCAAAATAGTCAGTGCTGTGGGTTCCCATGTTGCTGGCTGCAGCACCTTGCATTTTCCTTCAATCCCTATCATCGCGGAAACCAGATCCTCATGATAATTCTGACTCCGGATCAGTCTTCCCGTCTCTGTCTCTCTGGATAGAAATCTGGAGGGTAGCAGGCAGACACATAGATACAGAGACAGTTGTTTCTCTAGAGAACTGAGGTAATCGTGGAGTCAGTTCAGCAGCGGCAGTGAGCTGAGGCCTTGGGTGATTCCACTCAGCTAACTGGACTGACCTGATCACACCAAATCTGCCTCTCGCCTCATTTGGATTTGTTCCCAAGACCTAACCTCAAGTCTCACCTCTTGTCTCCATAGCAGCTAGAGACTCCAGCTCTGCGCCCTTCTTGGAGAGCTGTGCTATTTGGGAGGTGTCACAAGGTCCCTGAATGCCTAAGTCCCCTTCCGTCCACCTCTGTGGGTTCTCTGATATGAGGGAGGCCGGCTCACAGCAGCAAAGCCCCTGGCCCTCTAAGGCCAACTGACAGAACTGGATGGGAGAGGCAGGCCGTGTCCCCTTAGCCTTTACACGCCCTCTGCTTTGCCTTGCTCTGGGTTTCCCAGCAAACCTCACTGCCAGCTGCCCTGACACAGTTTAGGCACTTCATAGACACAAGGCAGATGGAAGCGGCCACAGCCAAGCAGGCCCAGGGTCCGACCAGCTGGTGACTGGAAATTACCTTCTCTCTCTCATTCTCCCCAGCCACAATAATGGACTCCGTGCATCCCTGACGTGTGTGGTAGCTGGGAGCGAGACACCCTAGCAGGCGCTGGTGGGGAGTAAAGCAATCATATTAAAGAGGTTTTTTTTTCTCGCTCTTCTGGGCAGCCCCAGCTAGCAAAATAACCCCCAGATTATTTTGCTTTCTGTGCTCTTCCTGTCCTTCAGAAGCCAGATTTACTATGGACTTCGAATGGTTGTCAAGGGTATGGCTTTTAGAAACGCTGTCTGTTGCCTAGGAAACTTCCCCAGTGAGAGTTCCCTGGGCTACCAGCAGTCGGTGAGATCTGGCGCCACCTGCTGGATGAAGAGCCACACTGCACGCAGACCTGAGCATCCCATCCCCCGGGAAAGGGACTGTCCTGACTCAGTGCCATCGCCTCGCCACAGCAAAAGTTCTTTACGACCTTTGCCCTCAGATGTCCCCCCAGGGACCGGAGGTTTGCAAAAGGCTTGTCTTCTTTGGACTACAGGGAGGGTGGAAACCATGTCCTTCCCAGGAGCGAGAGAAAGCGGATGGGGAAGGGGGTCTGGAGGAAGTCCCTCCCCTTAATTGATTTTCTGTAGTGCGGATCCGCAGTGCAGGCTTACGTTTTGCTTTCCACCAGCCTGCGTCTGCCAGGAGGGTGCAGACAGGATGAAGATGCTGGAGTTGGAGACCGGAGACTGATGGTCGGGTCACAACAAGATCCTTATGTAAATTCCCCTTCCTTCTGTCCTCCTTCCATGCCATTCAGTTCCCAGGAACCTAGTACTACTGACTTCCTCTTCCTCTCTGTGGGGAACCTTTCTTTTTCACCAAGACAGTTGCCAGATGAACGGCTGAAGCTCAGTTCGTTCTGCCTCACCCTAAGAGATAGCAGCAGACACCTTCCAGAGAGACACCCCCCAGGTGAACCCTGCTTGAGTGAGCACCTCCCTGCCCTCTCCTCACCCCAAGGTAAGCCTGTGTGAAAGGTGCAGGGCAAAGTGGGTTATCCGAGATGCAGAGTCAAGAGACAGAAAGCTGTTTGCTTCTGATAACAGCGTTTCTCTCTCCCTGTTCTCAGGAGTAGGGAAACCGAGGTCTGAAGTCTGGGAGAGTCTGGCTTCTCCCTCTCAGTACGGATGCTCCTGACCCTCTCTAGCTGGGTGGGGTGATGGAGATGAGAAGCTAAGAGGACAGAGCAGAAGCCTGGTGAGCAAGGCACCCCCATAGTCCACCTTAAGCTGAGCTAGAAGAAAGGTAAGGCTGGGCATGGGTCCCACGCATTGTGTAGGACCCTGCTATCTATCCCAGAGCTGTGTGCTCACTCGGGGAGCCTACCCCCACCCCCACTTTCTGACCAGACTCTGCTGCAAACCCTCCGGGGGAGGGGCAAAAGGGTGACTGTGGGTGTGGGGAGGCAAGAAGATTGGGTTTCCAGGGCCCTGAGTCCTATCTGAATGTAAGGCTAGGCTCAGATGCTGGGCCTCACAAGTCGAGGGGGACTTTGAAAGAACAAAGAGTCAGCCTTAGGGCAGTGGAAGGAGCTGTCCCTTCACCCCCTCTCCCTTTTTGAATCCCCTTATCAGGTGAGAGGAAAGGGGCAGGCAGGCGAGGGACCAAGGGCAGCTGGCCCTTTACAGGACAGCCACTCGTTCCTCCTTTCTGGGCTGGGCTGTGTACTTCCTGATTGACACTAGGGCCATGGAAGTTGAAATGACCCTCAGGAGAGCTAGCCCAGGCTGCTCCTGAACTCCTAGGTCACGTCATTTGGAATCTCCTGATCTCAGTTCTCGGGGCTGGGGACATGGCAGAAGCAAGGGATGCCGGATATACCTCTTCCATCTGTCCTCTGTGCACCAGAGATGGCCAGAATGCTCCTGGTGGCATGTGAGTCCCCTGCCCCAGCCCTGTCCTGCCTCTCTTTCTAGCCTCACCGGGGAAGAGGCCAGCGGCCAAGGCCAAGTGCCTGCAGGTGTACCTGGTCTGCCTCTTCCACACCCATGCCGGGGCCTAGTTTGGGTTGCTCAGATGGGTGCTACTGCGGGGGCTGAGGCACTGACCGGCTGCCCATTGGTGAGACGTGGTCTCTCCCTGGGAGGCTACACCTTCACATCAGCACTGTTGCCCACAGGTGAGGCTCTGGGGAGCTACCACAACACAGCCTGGCTTCGGATAGGCACCCTAGGCCACGTAACACCAGAGCGTGCCGGAGAGAGGCTCCTTGCTGCATGCCGACCAGGCCGGACCCGGAAGGCACGGAGTTCTGCTGAGCAGGCGCTGCTCCAGCTGCTTCTGCAGATCGGCTTGTGATGAGCTTCCCTCCCAGAGCAGCGTTCCACTCGGGCATTGACCACAGCGGCTGCATTTACAGCCAGAGCAACCATGCCATCTGGGTATCCCCCAGCCCCTCTCACGTGATTGGTCACGAGGCCAAGGGGAAAGTGCTGAGTTATCTGAAATTGTTTCCTATGCCCTACGAGCTCAGTTGGTAGAGCCTGAGACCCTTTATCTTAGGGTCGTGGGTTCGAGCCCCACGTTGGGTGCCAAAATGTTGTTTTTAAAAATGAATGAAAATTCCAACCGTTCTATTTTACCAATAAAAACTCAGGAGCCAGATCTTGGGGTGAAAACCTGCTCGCTCAGAGAGACAGAGAAAGCACCCAGCTGACCTTCCTTCTCAGCTCAGGTCTGGATGGAAAAAACCCAAAAGGCTCACTAGCTCAGCCAACAGCCCAGGAGGAAAAGGCCAAAAAAACCAGGGCCTAAGCTAAAATCCCAACTCCAAAAGCCTTCTCCACAATTTCTAAATCCCCCTCAACCTAAAGTCCCCCCTACTCTTTAATCCCTGTCAGTCGGTGTCTTGCTCTACCTCTTGACCTAGGGTTAACTTTATTAAATCCTGTGGACAGAGAGCTCTTGGATTAAAGGCATGTTCTGGGGCTGGGTGAACCACACCACAATCACCAGTTCACAATAAACAAAGTTTTTGGATTAAAGGTGTGTGATAGGGCCTAACCACACCAAACAAGAGACAGTGTTTTACAGTTCACAATTTTTTGGCTTCACGATGGGATCAAATATCCTGCCCACAGGATGCTTTGAAAAGTCTCAAAAGCCATGCCATTGGGAGCATAGTTTCCTCTACAGCAATGATTCTCCAAGTTTGCCGAGTATCAGAAGCTGGGCGCTCCGTGACTATTCAGAGCCCTAGGCCCAGTCCGCTCAGTGATTCTGAGCTTCTGGGGTGTTGGCTCCCTGGAATAGTCTGAGTCACACCTACTGTCCACCCCTACCATGTCCACTTGAGATCTAGAATCACTTGAGACCATGGGCCCCTTGGCACGTGTGGGTTGCCCTGATTAATTACCCTGAGACCTGCACACTGTGGATGGCAACGTCCCGTAGACTTGGGGGGGGTCACCATCACTCTCCTCTGCCTCTCTGTGAGCCAAGGCTTGAAGCCCCCGCTGCTTTGGCCTCCCCACGATGGTGGGCTGCACCCCAGAACTGTGAGCCAGGTCCAACCCTCCCCCCTGAAGCTGAGAATATTTCATCACCCGAGGAGAAAAGAAAGGAAGCCACCCACTGAGCAGAACTTCCTCTAGAAAGGTCGGCCAGCGCTAATAAGCTCCAGCCCACTGGGGCTCGCTAGCCTGCAGAGTAAGCGAGGAATGTCAGCTGTTGGTCAATGAGGTCTGATTCAAAGGGAAACCCTCCTTTGATCCACTCAACAGCTTGATTCAGAGTGAGCTGGTTTGATGTTTGTGTCAAAGGCCGGAACGCTTTCCCACCACGATGGGATGATGGGTCGTGCTGGTCCTGTGGGGTGGCTTCGGCTATTCCAGCCCTTCATCTTTTACCACCTTGGGGGACCTGCTAGCTCACCTCTGACTGTTGGTGCCCACAGGGCACAAGGCCTTCAGGGTCTCTCCATACAGTCCCTGCAGCAGCTCTAACTCAGCCAACAACTTGCCACCCAGATTTCCTTCCCAATCCTGGAAGTGCACCATGCTGGAAGACACTTTAAAAACCTGGTGCACACTCACTTTTCTTTTTTGGCAGGGGTGTTTCAAGGTTTCTCTGTGTAGCCTTGGCTGTCCTGGCCTTACTTTGTACACTAGGCTGGCCTTGAACTCAGAGATTCACCTGCCTCTGCCTCCCTGAGTGCTGGGTCACAGGTTTTTCAGGATGTGTCAACAGGGTCCTATGGAACAGCAGCATTTCTGGGTCATCACCACAAAGCAAGATCTTTCTTACCCTCCGATCTTTCCTGGCACTGGGCCATTCCCACGATAGCTTCCTCTTTGCCCATCTGAGTTGGCACCTCCATTCTGTACTGCCACCTGCTCAAGGTGGCCGAGGGAGCTGCAAGGAACCCTTCTGGGACACTTTCCAGTTGCAGGAACTGCCGGCCAGCAGGCTGAGACGTCCTGTCACGTGGCCCACCTACATCAGGACACCCTGGAATGTGGCTGGCCTCCCCTCCTCATCTTCCTGGGGACACCATGCCCTGACGGGACTTTCAGGCACTAGCAGGATAGGGGCCAGGCACCCTGAGGGCAAAGGACAGAAACGATAGGCCAGAGACATTGATAACTGCTTGGTTTATTCAGATTATTTAATATACAATGACACATTGTGACCCCAAAATGTGCAAAGTTAAAGCCTTCGACTGCAGCTGGGAGGGGAGGGCAGGAAGGGTCCACACGGGGACGGTGGTAGTCAGGAACGAAGGACGGGTGGCCATAAGCAGGCCCTCCCCCAGCTCAGAGATGCGGGGCCCCTGGGAACCTCACGCCAGAGGAAGGGGGCAGAGACCTCCCCCTGGCCTAGGCCCAGAACCCAAGTGCCACGTGGCTGAGAGGACAGCAGTCCAGGGATGGGCCAGAGGCAGGGTCTGAAGAGCACCATTTCCTGGGGGAAAGGGGCAGCGAAAGAGAGAGGTGCCCTATAGGAGAAGCCAGGGGGGCCACCTTCCCCAGGGGTCAGAGTAGGACACTGGCCCACAGCAGGCTGCAGCAAGAAAGACCTGAGGCAGGCGCAGGGCCTGAGAGCCAAGGCTGACTGGGCTCCGGGGGCTGAAGAAGGGGGAGCCCAGAACATCTCACGGGGCAGCCTGGCACGGGGAGCTACCTGACTCTGTGGGCTTGCCCGGAGAGGGGCCACAGTCCCCTCAGGGATCTACTTCTCACCCTGGAGAGGTGCTGGGGACCCATAGTGCAAATCTGTGGAGCACTCAGTTGTGGAGGGAGGCCGTTCCTGCAGTGGGACCCCGGGGCTCGCTCCCTCCGCTGCCGTGGCCCCCACTGCTGTCCTCAGTACAGCCGCTTCTCATAACTGCGAAGACAAGTAGGAGGGGACTAAGAAAGGGCTTGTGGGCCCCATTCCCTTCCCACAATCCTCTTGTCCATGCTCCCCCAGACTGGGGAGAGGGCGAGGGGCTGCAGAGCTTGCCTCTCAGCCAGGGGGCTAGAGGAGAGGCAGAGGTGGCCCTGGACCTCTGTCTTCCTTTGGCCAGGGCTCCATAAAAAGCCGTGCCAGTCCCAGAGACAGCTACGCTTCCAGCCAATTTCACACCTGAGTGGGCTGTCCTTGGCGCCCAGGAGGGAAAGATAGCTCAGGAAAGCACAAACATCCTCATGGAGCAGACTTCCGCTAGCTCAACCTTTGTTACCCTGTTTCCACTGCGGCTCCCATGGATGACTCGGACCCTTCTAGCCCCCGGCCTGCAATGCCAGGCCTCTGCACCCCACAGCGGGAAGTGTGTTTTGACTGGATGAGGGGTCATGGTTGGCCACCTCCACCACGGTGCTGGCAATGAGGACCAGAAAGGCCCAGCTCCCACCCAGTTCCCATTCTCCCAACCCCCGGCCCACCCAGACTGCCCCTGCTCTAGTCTACGCCTGGCCCCGGCAGCGCAGTTACTTACACGGCAGAAAGGTATAGCTACGGGAGGGTGGGGCAGAAAGAGAGACAGGTTAGACGCCCGCCTACAGTTAGGGAGCTGGGTCCTCTCAACCAGGGCAGGCTGCGTGCCTACTACTACTGCTGACAACTACTGGGCCCCAACCCGCAGTCACGCCAGCACTGGGCCTGGCATCTGTCTCTCTGCCCACTTCCCCACCAGAGGGTTCATGCCCCCGTCTTCTGCCTGCCTGCCTGGGGCCACCGTTAGCAAGAGCCCAGCAGCGACAGCCCCCGCCACCAGCCAGCAGGCTTCTTGAGCAAAGCGAGAGCTGGGGAGCCCGGTGGGCTAGCAGCCACACCTCCCAGGCCTGTTCGGGAAGCTGCCCAGAGGGAGGGAGCAGCCAGCCTGCATGAGGGCTCACGGCAAGGTTCCAGTGTAGACTGGGCCCTGTCCACAGGTGAGAGGCTGTGTGGCTCCTGGAACCTCAGTTTGTCCTTTGAACCTGCCCCACCCGGCACCAGCCAGCAGTGGCCAGGAGGCCAGTTACTCACGAGTGTAGGCCGTGCACGCCGCCCTCTATCTGGGCCGACATGGTCCGCTTCTCAAACTTGAGCTCTCCTGAGTACATCATGGACCTGGGAGGAGGGCAGGGGAATAGGTCAGGAACATCCCAGAAAAAAAGAAAAGTAGGAGAGAGGGAAACCTCCCAAGTCCCCCTGTGGCCCCCTCAAGCTGCAGCACTCACCGGAGGACAGACAGGCTTTGGGCCCCGATATCCTGGCAGCCATGCTGGATCCCCGCTATGAGGTAGGGCACAAACTTCTGGATGGAGCCTTTATCCTGGATGGAGCCCGAGACACCCTGTGCGATCTTCACCTTATCCCCCTCACTGCATGGAGGGTGGGGAGGCTGAGCCCAGTAGCCCAAGGCTCAGAGAACCCCACCCTGCCTCTCCAGGGTACACCCAGGAGGAGGACCCCACGGCAGCCGCAGCCACATACTAGGCCAGAGACAACAGGACCTCCCGGTCGGACAGCCCCTGCTCTGGCCAGCCTCCAGCTGCCACTCATGCAGAACTGGGACGCCACCGCAGGTACCCACCCAAGGTCAACCCAAGGTCAACAGCGTGAAGACAAACCTGAAGTATCGTTTCTGGCTGCTGCTGCTCTTCTCCATGGCGTCCAGGGAACCCATGCCTCGGTACTTCTTAAGTCTCACCCCGTCTGAGAAGAAGTATTCGCCAGGGGCCTCCGTGGTGGCGGCCAGCAGGGAGCCCATCATGACTGCAGAGGTCAAGGCTGACGGATGAATGCCTCTTTCTCCACCGCATACCGACCACCCCTCAGCTCCCAGCGCCGCCGCCCGAGCCACGGGGCTTCCCTCACCTGTAGAGGCACCAAGTGCCAGGGCCTTCACCACATGGCCCACGGTCTGGATGCCACCGTCAGCTATCACCGGCACCCCAAAGCGCCGGGCGTACTCGGCCACCTTGTAGACGGCGGTGCCCTGGGGTCGGCCACAGGCCATCACTGTGGAAAGTGGGATGGACAGGACAGGGGGACAGTCAGTGGTCCCTTCCCCTTGTGTCAATCATCACGCGTGGACAGAGGATGGTGAGAAATGGTGGTTCTGGGGCCTAGGGTGGGAGCAGCAGTAACAGCAGGGGAGTGTCACCCTTGGACCTCATTCTAGTACCAGCAGCACAGGGACGTGATCAGGGGATCCGTGAGAGCCTCAGACAATAGGGCCAGGACGGGGTGGGGCGTCTCTAGCATCAACTGCTCGGGAGGGGCAGCTTTCTTTGCACTAGCAGCTAAGGCTAGAGTTGTGGTCTTATGGCCTCCTTTGGGATACGGTTTTGCTCTCATATTCCCTCCCATCCCAACCCCTAGTTCCCCTCTGGAGCCTTGGACCTACAGACAAGAGTCTCCACAGCTTGTCTGAAAGCAGGCTGGTCCACTCCCAAAACTCCCTCATCTGCCTACAGCTACCTCTTCTTCCCAACAACCATCCCGAGTGAGGGGAAGGCCTGGGCACGGGCCACCCCGAACCGGCCACCCGAGGAACACCTAGG